GGTAATTGAAAGTAGAGCTGTTGGGATTACAAATTATTTCTTGGGATATTTCAAAAGTTACTGAAAGGTGATCAGAACCGAAGTCAGCATGGGTAACCAGTTGGCTACAAAGTTGACATGAATCAGTTAAGACCAAATCAATAGTGGAGGGATTTCTTGCAGAAGAAAAGCATGTTAGGCTGTTTGGATATTGAATAGTGTAATAACCTGCAGAACAATCATCAAACAGAATATTACCATTGGAATTGTTTTGAGCATTATTCCGGCGGTGTTTTGCATTAAAATCACCAATAACGAAGAATTTAGACCTATGACGGGTAAGTTTCTGAAGGTCACCCTTGAGAAAATTCTTTTGCTGGCCTACTCATTGGAATGGCAAATAGGCAGCTATAAACGTAAGTTGTCCAAATTTTGTTTCAACAAAAACACCCAAAGTTTCAAAAACTTTGGTTTCAAATAAAGAAAAAAAAAATATGTTTGATTCTTCTATGAACAATGATGGCAACGCCCACCACAGGCTCCATAAAGACGATCATTTCTATAAATAAAATAATTTGCGTCCCTCTTAACCTTATGGTCAGGTTTAAGGAACGTTTCAGTTATAACGGCAATATGGACGTTATGAACTCTCAAAAAGTTAAATAGCTCGTCTTCATTATCTTTAAGAGATCGAGCATTCATCCAATCTTCCTGAAGTGTTCCCACTTCACTCGGACATGGAGCATAAGCTTTTTCCAAGGCCTTAAGGTTGTTTAGTTCACTAGACTTGAAGTGAACTAAATAAAAATCATTAGAAATCCCGTTGCGTGAATCGCCAGGACGGGATTTCATTTTCATCTTGATTACTTGGAGTGGCACAACTCCAAGTAATTTTGCCAGTTCATCTTTGATCTGATCCAGGGATTCACCACTGGGCAGTCCTTTCATGACAACCTTGAACACACGTTCAGTTTTGGTGTCGTAAGTAAAAAAAAGTGCTTCTTCTCAGTAAGATACTTGAGAAGACATTTAAATCCGTTCAAGGTTTCAGCCAATACACGGCATTTTTCCTGGATGATGGATCATTCTCATCATCCGTGAACAAATCAAATTGATTTCATCAGAAGGGGGATCAAGAGTTTGCTCTTTTCTTTTGAGCTTAGGCGGCATGGCGGCAGTAAATTTTTATCCAAATCGACTTCCAAGCAGATTACTATAAGAATCTGAAGGATCGAAGAGGAGCTTTCCAAATCGATATCCAAGAAGGATTACCTCGGGTAGGGTCCAAACAAGGATCGAAGAGGAATAAGAGTTGAACAAGGTAGAAAATTTTTACAGGTTGAGCACTGAAAAGTGCAGTTTAAATTTGTTGTAGCTTTAGGTAGTATCAACAATCAATACGAAACTAACGATTTTAAATTGGCTCACCACTTTAGTAGCCTATTGGTTCCAAGCAAACGATTAACGTACCCTATTCTAGTTGAAATTCTATTACTACACTATGTTTGTTTTGATTCGCTATGAAAGTTTGACAGATAACATCAGGGGTGTGTGGATTCATGCAGAACATGCAGGGGTGAGTGAAATAGCTTGGGACTGCTTGGGACCGTTGTTCTGGTACTGAGTGAGCCAAAAATAATAATGATTTTCTTCGGGACCCAGTGGTCTTAGAGTTACCTCTATGGTAGTATCATAGAGGTAACTCTAAGACCACTGGGTCCCGAAGAAAATCATTATTATTTTTGGCTCACTCAGTACCAGAACAACGGTCCCAAGCAGTCCCAAGCTATTTCACTCATCCCTGCATGTTCTGCATGAATCCACACACCCCTGATGTTATCTGTCAAACTTTCATAGCGAATCAAAACAAACATAGTGTAGTAATAGAATTTCAACTAGAATAGGGTACGTTAATCGTTTGCTTGGGACCAATAGGCTACTAAAGTGGTGTGCCAATTTAAAATCGTTAGTTTCGTATTGATTGTTGGTAGTATGTAGTAACACTTCCTTTAGCAAAAATCAAATAGATACGCACGGCAAGAGAGCACGATGCGGACTGCAGCCGCCCTGTTTGATTTCAAGATGGCGCTGGACATCGATTTTCGGTCTCTAGACGTCATCCCGATTCCGACAATATACATATTGAAGGTTATTTGGCAGTATTTCCCAGACAACCAGACAAAATACACTGAATATTTCTCACTGTAAAACATCGTCGCTAAAACATTACCGCCATCTGTTGAGTGCACTGTGGTGGGTAGTACGCTGAACAGATGGCGGTAGTGTGTAAACGTCAAACGCAAGGGAATTGACTATGAGCGCCACAGGTGGCGATACAACCAACTACAATACTTTTAAATTTATCGTTAAATCGAAGACAACAAATCAAGAAGACTGGCAACTCTTCCATTTTCTCATACGAACGCTATGAGACAGGTACAATCAGGGATCGACTAAAAACTCAGAGTGGTGCAAAAACACTGGTGCTACTCTAAAATAAGGGAGCGCGTCCCTAATATTTGGAAGGAGAAAGAGACTAAGGAGAGAGATTACATATTAAGGAGAGAGTAGTTGGACAGCTCAGGTGCTACTTGCGTATAGCACAATCGAGTAGTGCACGGTGTTATGATGGGAGTAGCACTTTTCAATCGGGAGAGACGTGGCTTAGAGATTTACAAAAATGGTTGCATATTTTAGGCTGGGTGCAGAATATGTTTACACTCATATAATATATGTTGCAGTGACTGTATGGTATTCAAAAGCGTAGGAAATGCTAATTTTGATGCTTTCCTAAAGAGATTTTTTTAAGATCGATGTGTAATTTTCTACACAAGGGGGTTAGCTCTGGTCGACATTCCTGCGAAAAATCTAAGCCAACCCGAAACCAACATGACTTCTATCAAACCCCGATGTTGACCCGACATTGACCCGACATAAACCCCAAATTGACCCGACAACAACACGACATTGGGTCGACATCGACCCTAAATTAGCCTTACATTGATCCGACTTCGGGTCGACTTGTCTGTTCGGGACCATTTTGCTGGGTTTCTTCCACACTCCACTGTCGTATATCAAATGATATTGGGTGACTCAATTGACAGTGACAATGAGCTTCGAATGAGAAAGGGGCTCTTCAAATGATGGGCACGAGAATTTTTTTCACATAATCGATTTAATAGTTGTATTGGGCGAGATGGACCGTGATCGGTCTGAGCCGTCCAACATTCAGGACACAGCAAAGAAAAAAAAATAATTATATTGGTTCATCGTCAATCGAATGATATGAAAATTAACAGCACTGATGCTAGCTATCCTACAACGCTACATTTATAGAGAAAGTACACTGTCGGAGAAACAAAGAGAGAGAGAAAGAGACTTAACACCGTTGGAGCGGCAGCTCTCCAACACAAGAAGAATGAAATGTGCTGCACGATTTAAAATGCTCTTTCACGTCTCTTTGGAAAGAAAGTGCAGTCTCTCAACAGCGTGTGTTTTACTCGTAAAACATTGAGTAGCACCCGATCCCTGGGTACAATTGTTGGTACAATCGCGTCATCTGTCGCTCAAAGGTAAATGCTTTGAACGAATTTGATAGCAAAGATTACATCCTCAGAAGGAGGGTTTGTGTATTTGCTCATTTTTTCTATGCGTTGCTTCCACCTTCATTCAAGCGCAGCGCTATTGTATCTGTCGCTTGGATTCTGGCAAAGTTGCCAGTCTTCTTGATATGATGTCTTCGGTTAAATGCTTGGTCGATGAACAACTTTTGACTGTTATATCTGTTTGTCTGTGCTGATTATATATGGCCAGGCTCATGTGATAATCCTTGTGGAGCTTTTACCCCTATGGGTGGCTAACCTTTTTCTTGCATTATTTTTTAGACTTATTTGATTATTGATAAAACATCATTAAATGAAAAGGAAATTTTTTGAAATTCAATGTTAATATAATAACCCGCATAAAAAATAACCATAAGAAGCGCCTAACCACCAATTCGGGATATCATCCTAACTTTATGTAGTATAGCCGTATCATCTCTGATATCGTTAGTGTATGGTACCCGTTTATTAGGGAAGTATTCTAAAGATCAAATATTCGCTTAATTTATCGCCGAAATTTTATTAAGTTTCGGTTAAATTTTTCTTTAAGCTTTGGCCATCTTAAACCGTCATTCCCTGGCCTAAAACCATTTTTCTGAGTCATCATGGTAAAAAGTTGAACCCAACAAACATTTTTTCATAATTACATAGAATCAAGAATCTAGAACAAAACATGATTTTCTAGGATTTTTGAAATATTTTTAGAAAAATCAAAACATGCAAGAAGGTGGGCGGCAAGCATCTCCCTTTATTTGTTTTGTCTGGAAAGAATATGAAATTCTAAATCTAGGCAATACAAAAACTAAAACGATTGTAAACATAAGATGTGAAATTTAGGAAATCCGCGAAATGGGGCATCCCTTAGTCTACTCGGCACGACTACAAAGCAATACCATACTGCATACGCATAGTGTAGCATACAACACAAAAGTTTAGTACTTACCTAGTGCCGTTTTTTGATTTCTCATCTCGCATCAGTATATCTTCACAAAATCCAATAAAAAACATCACAATTCAACCTCACTGCTGAATTCTAGCGCCTTGAATAACACTTTTTTAACGACATGTTGTAGCATTCCGTTCAATCCGTTTCTCCCGGTATGACGAGGCGGTGTGGGCAGTCGTGCCGCGGCACAAGAATCAATAGTTAATTAGTTACTGTATCGCGATACCGATAAACAACAAACAATTTTAAGCATATAACGAGACGATCTTGCTCTGTCGCCGTTTTGAGATAAGCAGCTACGATGACGACGTCGGTAATGGGTAACGCTCTGATTCGAGTAAACAAGCCGATAAAACTTCAAAGTGTTCCTAATCCGTAGATAAACTCAGCATCCGACCGAAAGGGGATTTCATTATTCTATTTGAGACCGCGCACAGGGACTTGGGTTCGGATTAATTATTGGACGAAAATGGTTGACTTATAATGTGTGCGGGAGGCTGGTGAAATCCGTTACGCCTTGTCGGTTTTATTGGTTTCTAGTTTGGTAGCGTGCGGTTGCATACAGTGCAGCGTGTACTCGATAAACTTAAGGTCCTTGGCGTACTCGGTCATCCGTTTGAAGTGCCGCTCGGTGTAAGGAAGGGCCGCCTCGAGATGTTTGTTCAGTTCGGATACGTGGAAATCACCGGAGAGCATCTGCTGCAGGAGAATGTTCAGCACCAGCTGGGCAGGTCGACAATTTTTGCTGCTGGTGTTCCATTCGATGGCATGTTTCAACAGGGTTTCTTTGTGATCGTTGCGAAGTTTTTGAACGGTATCGGGGAGGCCTTGTTCTTGGCTTTTGATAACGGCGGTGATGATTTTCAAAGTCATCATGGGTCTATCGAGATTGAGTGACAGACGGAGTGCTTTTAGAAGCTTTTTATCCTGCATAAGATTGTTGAGTTCCTGTTCCTGAAGGAGAACTTCCTTGTATTCGGTCATTTCTCGTTCGCGTTTCTCGTCCGTTACGTCCTTCCATTTGATTAGCTGGGAATCGGAGCCACCGCTGTAGAAAACGGATTCATCCTCTGTGACGCACAGAGCCCAAATACGACTTTCGTGTTTGTCCATTGTTTGCAGGCACTCGGAGCTTTTGATAGACCAGAGCTTCAAAAGACCATCAGCGCCGGCGGAAAGCAGTTGCATTCCGTTTGACAGGAATTCCACTCGCAGAACGGAACTTTCGTGACCTTCCAGCGACTTGAGGCAGGTCATATCGGTGAGGGACCAAAGCTTAACGGAACAATCGGCTGCATTTGTCAGTAAAATTTGGTCAACAGGCGAGAACCGAACGGCCCAGATTCCTCTTCGGTGGCCTCGGAAAACTCCAACCAAACTGAGATTACTAACATCCCACAGTTTGGCGGTCTTATCCTGTGATCCAGTCGCGATCAGTCGATCGTTTGGCGATATGCAAACGCAGTTGATGTCTTTTTCATGCGCCAGCTCGGTCAGAGTACAATTCAATCGGGTGAGTTCCTTCTCGTCCGCGGTTTGATTGAACTCCTTAGGGATTTTCCAGACTTTCAAGCATTTATCTTGGCTAACGCTAGCGCAAAACTTGCCGGATATTTTACTTATGGCAACGCTGCCTACCGCATTGGTGTGTTTCAGTCCAATGGCAATGCACTGGATCGAGAATTTAACCATATCGTAGCGCCATAATCTGATAGAGTTATCCTTGGAAGACGATATAATGTAGTGTTGGTTCGCAGACAGCGACAAAACAATATCTGTGTGGCCTTTGACCAATTGGCAGTTCATGGTAGTGGTATCATATACTTTGAAATCATTGCTATTTGTAGCCATACCAAGGAATCGGTCTTTCTTGCCAAACAGAATTAGATCCAGAATTTCGTCACTGAATCCGGAAAGCTGTTTGAAACAGTCGAAAGTATCCAGGTCGTGAATGATGATGTTATGATCAGCGCTGACTATGGCCAGTTTCGATGATTCTCTGTTGAACAGCATATTCGCTATGGCCAAGCCACCTTCTTCGGCGGACTTTGTGACCAAACTGTTGGTCTGTTTAAAGACAATCTTAGTTTCGGTCATTTCCCAAACCTTAACTAAACCTTCTTCTCCGGCGCAGGCCGCGTAAATTTTATCCGATTTCAACTTAAGACCCGGCAGATGAACACCCTTGGGAAGAACAATAACGCTTTCCAAACTCTCGTACACAGGAATGGTTTTGACTGCTTCCTGAGTTTCGTAGTTCCACAAAATCAAAACTTTATCCCTGCCAGATGAAACCAGAAATTTCCGATCACTGGAAAACGATACACCTGTAACCTTGGAGAAGTGACCCGAGAATGTCTTTACAAGCTCTCGCGTCTCGTAGTTCCATGCGTTGATTTTTACATCGTCCCCAGCAGCCAACAGCACTTTACTTTCCAGATCTGGGTGGAATACTATTAAGTTGATGACTCCCTGACATCCCCGCAGTGTGCCCTTGCAGACTTGCTCTTTGGGGTCCCAAACGCGAACCGTGGTATCTGTGCCTCCACTCGCAATCAGCGTATCATCATCGTTAAAGACCAACTTCGTAATCGGTCCTTGGTGAACTCCGCGCCATGTTTTGCTCACCTGCCTTGTCTCTTTGTCCCACAGCTTGAGCAAACCGGACCGGTGAGCGGAAACCACACTTTGACTGTCCTTGCTCAGGGCAAAAGAGTACACCGTATCTGATTCATCACCGTCTCCGAAAGCTACCGGTTCAACGGCATCGTCCGTAACGGAAATCAAATTGATGCTTCCCGCATTTTGACACAGCATTTCCTTTCCGTCCGAGCTCCATTGTACTGTACCGCCCGTGTAGAAAGCCTTGTACTGATTTTGTACTTCGTATCTAAAATTTATAAATGAAAATAATTTTAATAATTATTGTTTCAGGTAGTTCGCAAAACCGGGAAAGCACTGTACCAAAACAAACATTCTATCGCCGTCAGAAACCCACTCCGAAACATGTAAAAATTACAACTTAAATTTTTTCTTACAATGAAAGCCACAATTGAAATTCCACAATCGATCCATACTTACATTTCTTTTAGCTTTATCTTGGTACTCATTTTAGCCAGAAAAACGTCGAAAATTCACCAAAATTTTACAAAATTTCTTAACACCTTCGAGAACGTTTACCGCAAAACAACAAAAACGCACGTGTATTCAAATCAGCTGTCAGGTCCAGGCTGCATGACAGCCATTTGTTTTGATCTCAGTTTCTAATCTAGTACGTTTCAATCGTTGCATCACGAAAGTTGTGTCTGGTCGAGTTATTTGCATTTAATTTGCCGATTTTAATCGAAAATTGCCGGAAATTTATGCTGATTACCTCGAATCCACAGCAGCAAAGTGTTCAAAATGTTAAGTGTGTCCCGTATGTGCCCAATGGCACGGTTTTCAATTGCAAGCCAATCCCAACTTTTTCGGTCACCGGCTGCTCCTCATCCAGCCGCGTTAAGGCTGGTGCAACAATGTTCCACAAAATCAGCACCGGAACCGGTTGACCAACCCAAACCCTCACCGGACACCGCGCAAGCAACTTGGAACCCCATCTATCACTTTCCGGGAATTGTGCTCACAGCTTCAGTAAAACGACTAAAACTGTACCCTGTTGGGTTAACCGCTGCAACAGTTCCGATTTGTCTCGGGCTAGCATATGCTGATATTTTCAATGTTACAGCGGCGCAGATTTGCGGATGCATTGGTAAATTATCTACAAATGTTTTATCAATGTCTCAAACTCAACTGATTCTCCCCACCGCTTAGGATTCACAAGCACCTTAACGCTGCTCATGTTCAGTTATTTGACCAACAATTTGGTTGGATACGTTTACACCGATGCCGACTGTAAGCAGGTCCGGATTTCCTACGTTGATTTTCACGGTAAACGTCAGGAACGGATACATTCGATTGATGACATTGTACCGAGATCGGAACTGAGGCGCTCGTTGTTGAAGTTTTATTTTCCTATTAAAAACCACGACAATCGTGATGTGTACAGAATAGTGCACAAGTATGGCGAGATCTACAATGAGCAGGCATTTCAAAAGGTTTTTGGCAGAGATTAATGTTAGAGACGAGGTTAGAGATATACGGAAGTAAACGTAAATTTGTAAATGAATGCTCCAATGTTGGTTGAGGAAGTAATTTTATCCGAATTCCTGGCGAGGCTCCAAAGAAACCTGTTTCTATGAGTATCTTGATATAGAGCCTAACTTCGACAAACTATGAGCATGAGCATTATTTGTATAATAATATTATAAATACAACTATACAAGTGTGAACATGGATGTGCTCATTATTTATTATACAAATAAAGCACATTAAGTTCCAACCAGTATTAGAACAAACGAAGTGACAGACGACTAACTGGCGAAGAAATCAATTAAAATAATGTGGTTCGCTGTAGGGTAGAGCGCTACTTCGTGGTAATCGCCCATTTCCGTTCTATCGATCAGAAAAGATCAATAATATCAATAATCTCACCGTGCACAAATCAATAATAGGTTTATTCCGATGCGTTAGTTCATTAGCTACAACATAAATCCTATTAGAGCGCATTGTATGAATGCTCATTGTTCTCACAACAAAAGAAGCGCTCCTAGCGAATCCGCTTTTTCTACGTTTATCCGTAGGACGAAGAAAATCAAATGGCGTTTCAATGCGTTAGGACGGAATTGAAACTCGTAGAACGAATTTAGAATCAAGAAGCAGTGTTAGATTTAAAACAATATCTCAATAATTTGTGACTCATCGAATCCAATGGTACGTATGGAAAGGTAAATGAATTTAGAAGTCATCTTTGAAAAAAATATTTCACGTTTTGTTTAAACTCTTTCAGAAAAGAGAGATAAAGCGCGGGTTGTGCTTACTTACGACGGAAATTAGATCGAAAACCCTAATAGAATTTGCTTAGAAGCTTGTGCCATCAGCCACCAGATGGGCTAGTATTTTTGTTGATTTTGTGTGCAATATGATCTTTGACAGTGTGCAAAGAGTGTATCATTTTGTCATTTTTTTTATGCATTTCAGTTTAGAGTAGAGTGAAAGAGATATAGAACCAACAATCAATACGAAACTAACGATTTTAAATTAGCTCACTACTTGACTAGCCTATTGGTCCCAAGCAAACGATTAACGTATCCCATTCTAGTCGAAATTCGAGTACTACGCAATGTTTGTTTTGATTCGCTATGAAAATTTGACAGATAAAATGAGGGGTTATTGGATTTTCCTATGTTTCGAGGGGTGAATCGATTAGCTTGGGACCGAAGAGAGTACCAGAGCTGAGCCAAAAAGTTGAGCACATTATTTCGGGACCTTCTAGTCTTAGAGTTACCTCTATGGTACAACCATAGAGGTAACTCTAAGACCACTGGGTCCCGAAGAAAATCATTATTATTTTTGGCTCACTCAGTACCAGAACAACGGTCCCAAGCAGTCCCAAGCTATTTCACTCACCCCTGCATGTTCTGCATGAATCCACACACCCCTGATGTTATCTGTCAAACTTTCATAGCGAATCAAAACAAACATAGTGTAGTAATAGAATTTCAACTAGAATAGGGCAACAATCAATACGAAACTAACGATTTTAAATTGGCTCACCACTTTAGTAGCCTATTGTTCCCAAGCAAACGATTAACGTACCCTATTCTAGTTGAAATTCTATTACTACACTATGTTTGTTTTGATTCGCTATGAAAGTTTGACAGATAACATCAGGGGTGTGTGGATTCATGCAGAACATGCAGGGGTGAGTGAAATAGCTTGGGACTGCTTGGGACCGTTGTTCTGGTACTGAGTGTGCCAAAAATAATAATGATTTTCTTCGGGACCCAGTGGTCTTAGAGTTACCTCTATGGTATAAGTCATTAATCATATAAATAAGTTTAAAAAAATCGCTAACAAATAAAATAAACTTGAAAAACATTGAATCGCTCTTGAGTATTTATTCATGAGCCATTCACTTTTAATCCACCTGGCCTCCACTGTAAACATTTGTTTGGATTATTCTATTCTAGTACCTTTTCTCTGCTTTACCGATATGAATCTGAAGCATCTGAAGTTGATGTTCTTCTGTCAGTCGGATCGGAATCGCAAATACAAAACACACGACCGATTCCAAAAAGTTAAAAATCGTATTGTTTCAATAATTGGGGCACTTTAAGAATATGCTTCGCCGCATATTCAGTAGCGCATTGCTGCGGTAAGTAATTCATATGGTTTTGTGCTATTAGATTGATTCAATGGTATGGTAATTTGCAGCACCACAACAACATGCCATTTTCCGGCGGCAAGCATGTCTCAGTACGGACCACAATTTGTGGACCCGGTGTTTAAGAAGGAACGTCTCACGGCCCTTGAGGAAAGTGGAGAGATTTCCAAAATTGCCCACGTGCCCATCAAGGCAGCCCGAAACCATGATTCCTGTTCGGTGTTTCACGATGACTTGGTTAGCAAGTTTATAAATTATGTAATGAAGAAGGGCGAGAAAGCGCTAGCTAGGGAGATAGTGGAGAAGGGCTTTGAAAATATCAAGCGACTGCAGTTGGAACGATACCATTTGGCGGAAAGTGAGGAGGAAAAGGCCAAGATTGAATTGAGTCCTCGTGCGCTTTTGAGGCAGGCAGTGGAAAATTCTCGCCCGTTGCTGCAGCTAACACCCATCAAGCGAGGTGGTGTCCGGTATCAGGTGCCGGTTCCAATAACCGAGCACCGATCGTACTTTTTGGCGATGAAGTGGCTACTGGAAGCGATCAGGGAGAAGGAACGTAAGGTGCATTTCCCGGAGAAGATGGCCTGGGAGGTGTTGGATGCTGCAGCCAACCAGGGAAAGGTCATTAAGCGGAAACAGGAACTGCACCGGCAGTGTGAGGCGAACCGAGCTTATGCTCACTACCGATGGAGTTAGAAAGTGTGGAGGTAATTGATAGGAGTGTTTGAAATGAAATACAGTGTGGATAGATCATCTATAATGTGCGGCACTTTTGTGCGGTTTCAACTCGAAAGAAATCATTATACGTAGGGTGCCATCGGTTTTCCACCAGCTAAAACGGATAGTACATTCCGAGCGGCAATACAGAACATTTCCTCTAAGCTTTTCCTGGTTGCAGTTCCGAGATGGGGTACGATGACTGAAAATGGCTTATTTTTGATTCTTGACTAAAAAGCTTTCGATTTATCGATACTCACTGCAATTGGGTAGACTCATGATTGGATCACTGGGTGGCATTGGTTCCGGGGTCATGACGTCTAGTCCAGCAGCAAATATTGTTCCAGATTTTAAAGCTTCGACCAATGCATGTTGATCTACGATTCCGCCACGTGCCACGTTGATTAGTACGCTAGTTGACTTCATCATTTTGAATGCCTCAGCATCGAACAATTTACTAGTCTCGCTGGTTAACGGACAAACGATGAACACAAAATCACTTTCTCTCAGCAGTTCGCCAAACCCAACGTATTCTGCTGCGAATTGATCAGCCTCGGGTTTCTTGTTTCGTCCTGTATACAACAATCGCCCAATATCGAATCCTCTGAGCCTTTTGGCTATCGTTTGACCGATTCCACCGAAACCTACAATGCCAACTGTGGACCCAACCACATCTTGTCCTAGCATCCACTGTGGCGTGGCGTCCCAGTCCGAATCCAGGATTTTCAAACGTCCCTCGTGGAATCGTCGAGCAGCCGCAATCATCAATCCAATGGCTATGTCCGCAACCGGATCATTGACCACCTTTGGTGTATGCCCCAGAGGAATCTTGCGTTGCCTGAATGCTTCTGCGCTGACATAATCCATACCGGACGTCAGCGTAGATACCGCCTTCAGTTGTGGTCCAGCCAAGTCCAGCACTTCACCATTCAGTCGATCGGCAGTCAGCCAGAGAATACCTTCCGCGCCCGGAGTAGCTTTCAGAATTTCATCTCGGCTTGTTCCCGGACAAACTGTTACCTCGCACCTGTGTAACCATGTTAGACAATGCAATCAGATGGTTAGATGTTGTTGTGTGACGGAGGGTCAAAAATCAAGGTCAACTAACTTGCGCCGGAGTGCTTCGATGTAGCTTACCGGTACGTCAGAACAGGTGACCAGCAGTTTGGGTCGATGATTACCAGGAAATTGGACGTCGTTGATTGCTGCTTCGAGCATTTTGGGAAGATGCTTGATCAATCGAAGGGAACTGGAGCGCATAGTGCACTACATCTGTCCTAGTCTGCGGTACGAGTTGTTATTAGTTAATCTATTTTAGGACAGCAGGACGGGAGTGGCGAAGCAAACGTTGTACCTAATGGCTATCAGTAGTGGTGTCATGCGTTTATGTTGCGTGTAACGTGTTTGTATAGAAGTGAAATTAGCAAGCTGAAACGTTAATGGTAAAAGTATTTAGATTAGGCTACTGAGTTGATTGTTTTTACAAAATAATTGAATACTTTTGGACTGAAGGAAAAATCTGCTATGAAAAAATGTGTTCCGATAAAAAAAATTAAACTCGAAAAAAACTGCTCATGTTTGAAAGAATGAGAAATTTGCCATGGAATGAACCGTTGCGAGCGAAAGTGGTACATAAGGAATTTTTATCAATTTTGACTAAAAATTCAGAATTTTCTCACTACGTGGCGTTAGTGTGCATGTGCATTTCCGTTACAGACTAAGTCTCAAGATACAGGCCACCTAGGAGATTGGCGTTTTCGGCCAATACCTTTCGAATGGTGGACAGATTAGTTCAGAACTCTTCCACTACGAGGCGTTAGCGTACATGTAAACTTGGTGTATAAGTATTATTTTGAGATATTGATCATCTACAAAGTTACTGTCTTCTAGCAAGTTATTTCAATGCCTTTCGGATAGCAGATGATGTGTCCGGAAAGTAGTTCCGGAATAGAAAGATAGCTTGACCAATACTAGAGATGTTTCTTTATTCAAGGTCTAACGTATAATAATCAATACTTTAGTTTAAATGATCTTTATTTTAGTTTAACTTGGACGATTACCATATAAATTTTTACTAAGTGATTTAATTGCTTTCTTCATCTTTAGGTATGGTCAAAATTCAAAATTTGTTTTACAGAATTAGTCCTAGACTTGTACACGGTCGACCACCTTGGTGGGATTGGTTTGTTTTGTTTTTAGAATTTGAAGAGAAACTACTTAATACTACTATTTACAGCTTGAAACTAACCTACTCTACTATATACACTTAACCTACTATGTACAAATTGCTTATTAAAGCATGTTCAGAAAGATTGCATTTTTGAATAAATTTAGTTGTCATATCATCAATTTTGGAATCTACTTTGGGAATTTCTGCCTCTTGATGGAGGTCTGCTATTCTTGTGTCGAATGGACGATCTAGGATCATCCTCAACACTCTATTCTGTGCAACCTGGATTTTGTTCCTGTGGGTCTGAGCGCACGATTCCCACACCGGGGCGGCATAGAAGATCGCGGGGGCTATGATCTGTTTGTAAACAGCCAGTTTGTTTTGCCTTGAGAGGCGGGATCTGCGGCAAATGAGCGGATACAAACACCTAACCAAGGCGGAGCACTTAACTAGGGTTTTCTCTATGTGCGAGCGGAACAGGAGCTTCTCATCGAACAACATCCCGAGATAAGTAACATCAGTGGACCACTCGACCCTTGTACCATCCATTATTACGGTACAGGAGGGAGACGGTTTAAGTTTTAATGATTGTCTGTGAAGGAACATGATCGCTTGGGTTTTCGAGGCGTTGATTTTGATTTTCCACGTGGTGGCATAATCAGTAAAGGTGTCAAGGCATCGTTGGAGCTTGTTCGTAATTTCACGAGGCATCCTACCCTTGACGGCTATCGCGGTGTCATCTGCAAACAGAAAGAACACGCAACCGTCTCCTAGAGGAGGGATGTCCGACGTGTAGATGCTGTAAAGCAGTGGTCCCAGCAGACTCCCTTGCGGAACACCTGCTGGGATCGGAAATTGTCCCGAAAGGGAACTATTCAACGACACCCTGAACGACCTTTGCTGGAGATAGTTACGGGTGATTTTCACAAGGTATGGTGGAAAGTTGGAGTTACAAAGCTTGTATATAAGTCCGTCGTGCCAGACATTGTCAAACGCCTTTTCGACGTCTAACAAGGCCATGGCTGTGGACTTGGATACAGCTTTGTTACTCCGGATGTTATTCATCACCCGCACTAGCTGATGATTGGTGGAATGCCCCTTACGGAACCCGAACTGTTCCGGAAGAAGAATGTCATGTTCCTCCACAAACTTGTTTAGTCGGCTGAGGATCAATTTTTCGAACAGCTTGCTCAGCGCTGAGAGCAGGCTAATCGGTCTGTAGCTTGACGGTAGTGAAGGGTCTTTCCCAGGTTTGCGGATCGGGATGATTTTTGCCACCTTCCAGATGCTTGGAAAGTAGTGCAGCTCCAAGCATCTGTTGAGGATGGCAGCCAGCAGCGAGTGCACCCTCGCGCTGAGATTTTTCAACTCTAGGTTGAATATTCCGTCAAACCCGGGAGCCTTCATGTTCGTACTGTGTTTCAGCGCTGAGCAAATTTGTTCCTCTGTAATCCGTTCTTCTGGAGGGACGGCACAAGGGGAGGCATCTAACGTCTGGACGCACTGCACAACCTGGTTCTCGAGTGGACTTGGGATTGTAGAGCCAAGCAAATGCGACTGGGCAATGTGCTCCCCAATTGCATTGGCCTTCTCTTCGTTGGTGATAAGCCGTTCGTCATTGACTCTAAGTGGTGGAATGGGCTTGGGGTGAGACTTCAGCACCTTGGCAACCTTCCAGAATGGTCTGGAACGGTCGTCCAGGTTCTGAACGAGCCGCCCGAAACTCTCGTTCCGGATTGAGACCATTCTGGAAGCGATCTGCCGATTCAGATCGACCATTTCGTATTTACGCTGCAGATCCCCAGTCCGCTGAAACTGGCGTCTACGAACATTTCTGAGCCGAATCAAGAGTTTGGTGTGGGAATCAATTGCTTGAAACTTACCCCTCACAGGAACTCGTCGAACGCACTCTTCGTCAGCCACGGATATGGCTTGATGGAGACCCTCCAGGGCCCGGTCGATGTCATCCACTGTGTCGAGCGGTGGGTTGTCGTCGATGTGGCGGTCGACCACGCGTCGAAACTGGACCCAGTTGACTCGATGGTAGTCCTTCCGCTGGCACGGTGCAGGGGCCACGTTGTAGCCCAGCTCGGTCAGCACCGGTTGGTGGTCCGAACTCAGGTCGTTGACGGCAACCGGCTTGGCTAATCTGGTGTTTGCCAAGAACAGGTCCAGCGTCGATGGGTTGCCCGTCGGTGATGTGAAGGTTGGTTCGTCCGGAAACCAGACGGAATAGAGACCATGCTGGGAATGGTCGAATAGCAGGCGGCCGTTCTGGTTCTGCTGGTAGTTCCGCCAGGCCTCGTGCCGGGCGTTCAGGTCCCCTCCGATTACAAAGCGGGCATTGGTGTGGGTTATGATGGCAAGGTCGTTCTTGAACTGCTGTGCTGTACCATTGCTAACGGTACATTGCCGGGGGCAGTAGACAACGATGAACCGGACGTTTCCGGTCGATGTTTCCACCTCAACGCCGACGGCCTCGATGATGGAAGTGCGGTAGTGGGGTAGGGTGCAGTACTTGATGCCTTTCTTAATGATGACCGCGACACCGCCCCCCCTGGAGCTGGTGCGATCAAGCCGGACAATGCTGTGGTCGGGCAGCCAGAAGCTGTCACCGGTCTTGAGGTGGGTCTCGGTGAGAAGGCCCACGTCGATGTCGTGCTTGCGGAGGAAGTCTGCAAGCTCAATGTTTTTCGCCCCTACGGAGCGAGCGTTCCAGTTGGCGATCTTTATGGGTTCACGGTCCATAATTAGCGACGAAGGAGATGATAGCTTGGAGCTGTTGTGTTCTTGTTGCGCAGGTGCGCTTGATGATGATGGCCTGGGCCAACAGTGTGACGATCTCATCCGTTGACAGCGGAGAATCGTCTGTAGCTTCACCGGTTGTACCGGCCAATCCCGGAGCAGGGGGATCCGTCGATGGCCCGGAGGCTTGACCGGGTACTGCAGCGGCAGCCAACTGTTGGTTGAGCGGGAGCGGCGGCAACACTGGAATTGGCCGTGATTGGACCGGTGATAACGGAGATAATCAATACTTGTCAATTGCACCGTTTATATAGTGTTCCAGTGATTGCTATGATCCAACATTTCCCCCCTAAGGTTTTGTCATCCAGTAGGATTTTTAACGGGTCGGAAGTTGAATCATACGCCATCCTCTTTCCAAGAGTGGAGTTCCCTGATGGGCTGCATCTGTTGGTTCTGGATCGTCAATACCTTCAGATTCAGCGTCTAATGCTGGATTGGAGAAATCTGAATCCGTTAACTCCAGAATTTCTGAGTCGTCCTAAAGTTGTTCTTCTAAACGCGGTGTTGTTGCAGGTTCTTCTGGAGGAATGGCTGCTGTCCATCTCCGAGGAAAACGTTGTAGGTAACGTTTCCTACATTCTCAATGACCGTCGCTGGTTCCCATTGCCAAGAATTTGCTTGATGAACCCGAGGGGGGCGACACATCTAAATCTCAAGTTTAGATGGTCAACAAATCTCACACTAGCGAATCAATCTTCGAACAATCTTCTTTCATTTGTCGCATCTACTTGCACCGCTCATCAATTTTTTGCAGGAAATCTTCAGAATCGTCATAAATCTTCTTTCTATCTACTCAGCGTGCGCCCAGCTAGCCACAGCAAAACACAATCTTTTTTGCATCGTAGATAGAGTCGTCCCCCTCGGATGAACCTTGGCATACACCAAATCGCCATGCTGGAAACTCTTCTTAAATTCGCCTTGTTTCCTGCTGAAAGCGTCGTTCTGCTTTTGTCTGTCTCTGGATGTGCGTATTGACCGACCGAACATTATTTCAGCAGGGGATTTTCCGCCGAGATCGCTGGTTGGAGTTGAGCGATATACTTGCAGGAATGTTTGCAATGCTTCCTCAAGCGTTTCTACTCCATCCGAACGAACTTTCCGAAGGCTTCTTTTCAGGTTGTCCGTTCTGCGGGTGCAAGTGTCCTCGAAGCGTGTTGCACAACCTTCATTTTGCCATCGGGAAACTGGTGGATGATTACTGCACCGATGCCAGTGCTTGATGCGTCTGCTGCCACGATGATCGGCAGCTTGGGGCGTAGTGTGTCAACAGCAAGTTTGATCGAAGAACTGTCTTGAACTTTTCGAAAGCTTGCTGACACTCGGATGTCCATTTCCACTTCGTTTCTTTCTTGAGAAGCTTGTCCATGGGATAGCGCAATTCTTGTAGGTTGCGCACGAATCTTCCGTAGAAGTTGACCGCGCCCAGAAACGATCGCAGCTCAGTGACGTTGGTTGGAGGTGGCATTGCAGTGATGGTTTAGATTTTCTCGGGGTCTGGACGGATACCTTGTCCGACCACGATGTGTCCCAAGTAGCGGATTTGCGACTGGAAGAAACTACACTTCTCTGCCTTGACGTGGAATCCATACTCCTTGAGACGTAGGAAAAGCTGGTTGAGTGATGCAGCATGCGACTCCAAGTCCCGACCGAATACTATGGCATCGTCAATGAAAGAGCGGACGCCAGGTATTCCCGCAATCATTCCACCGATGCGTATTGATGGTGAGCAGCCTTTTTGAATCGTCATCCACCTCGAGCTTCAAGTATGTAACGGAGAGGTCGATGATGCTGAATACGGAACTGCCATTGAGTTGAGTCCTGTTGAATAGTCCGCACAGATACGAACCTGGCCGTTTGGTTTACGTACAGCCACGATTGGAGCAGCCCGCTCAGAGAAATCGATAGGCTCGATGATACCCAACGATTCCAACCGTGTAATTTGAGCATCGACCAATGGAATTGTGTTGAAAGGAACTGGCCGCTTGCGACAGAAAACAGGTTGAGCATTAGGTTTGAGGAAAAGCTTTACCTGTAGCTTCTTGCAATGTCCTAGTGAATCGTTGAACACATCTGCGTGCTTGACCTGGAATTCACGTACTTGCTGATCGATTGGTTTTGTCTTCACTTGGTTGTAAACCGAATCGATGGGAACTGACCACAGCTCGAAGAATTCGTTCCAGTCGATGCCTAGCAGGTTCAGATAAGCAACCTTTGTGACGAAGCATCTTCCTTGTGCAGTTTTGCCGTTGATTCTCACTTCGCACTCGAACTCACCCATCAAATGGAGTGGCTTGCCTGACGCGTTCATTGCTTCAATGGTTGGTTTCTTGATTGCAGGTTTGCCCAGATAGTTCCAGGTTTGCTTCGAGATTACCGTGATGTCGCTCGCTGTGTCCAGTTGTAGCTTGGTTTCCACGCCGTTGATGAATGTTGGCACGAACTTTCGCTTGCTTGAGTGTTGAGCGATGTGATTGACGATGTATACGCCTCGGGATTTTGCCTTGTAGGGTTTGCTTGATTTGTTCGATGACTTTCCTAATCTGTCAACAAAATTGACATCTTTTGGAAGCTTCGGCAGGATGTAGTTGGTGTACTGGGTGTGTGACGGTGTATCCAACTTCCTCAGCAGCAATCGGACCTTGGCGGCATCTTGCAGGTTCTTGGCATCCGAATCGAAAAGATCCGCGTACCGGCTGTACCACTTCTCGAAGGTGATTCCATTTTCCGGGTCGAACGAAAATTCGCTGATGTTCGTTGCCAAGGCCTCGAGTGTTTGCTCCGGGTTGCTATGGACTTGATTGGGTTCCGCTAGCTTCTGTAGGAGCGCTGCCGTCTGGAGAATTGTTTCCTGAAGTTCTGCCATCGCTTCTGGTTCTTGAATCCTCGTCGCCAAATTGATGTGTCCGGAAAGTAGTTCTGGAATAGAAAGATAGCTTGATAAATACTAGAGATGTTTCTTTATTCTAGTGTTCCAGTGATTGCTATGATCCAACAGCAGACATAAAGATTCAGAATTTTCTCACTATGCGACGCAAGTTTGCTGTATCTTGAAATCCAAACCATCTGTGTTCGAGAATTTTATTGTGGTGAACAAGACCTATCGGATGCATAGCTGCTAACGAAGGGGGGAGATTGACGCACCTTGGTCCAAGTAATAATTTTCTGATTCTCATGTAAACTACACGTAAAAAGTGATTTTGTCCCCCCAATGTTCAAGACAAGTTGGCGCCACTGAGTTTATATGAGAATCTGAAAATTATTGGGGAGGTAAAAACCTAAGAGAAGAGGTGACAATACGGGGGCGAAAATGAACCACTTTTCTGTCAAACGTGAACCAGCTCCTGATTGGCCGATTTCATGTGCGTAAGATAGAGATAGAGATAGATAAAGATAGAGATAGAAATAAAAGAGGAAGAAGCCAATTGTCACCTCTTCCTCTTAGGTAAAAACGGCTCACCCACCAACCTCTCACCCCCTAAGTTGGCGCCTATGAGTGGATGGTAGATAGACAGTTTCAGAATTTTCTCGCTGCGTGTACATGTGAGCTTCCTGTATGCCAACATTATGGGTATTTTTGGAGCGGAGACGACTGCCTCTGCCGGAAATTGATGTCAGACATCATTTTGGAATTCATGATGGTAGTCGTCGGTTTTTGAAAGTATTCATAAGCCAGAAGACGCCGTGACCGTAGACAATCGCAAAGTCTTCCACCTCCATAATGTACGTAGTTTATGAACAGTTACTAAGCCTAAATTTTGTTCAGCCTGAAATTTTTTTTCGGTTAGTTCGGTTACTTAAAAAACTGCGTGATGCTGATGATGGTACCACCTCTTACACAAAGGTTTGAGCTGGACGATATATCTTCAAGATAATTAAGTATGACATCTTAACCAGATTAGCAGGCAAAACGAACTGGTTACAGTTACAGATTTAAATTCCCTCAACAATTTTCTGTTGCTTCACAGCGACATAAATATGAAAAAAGCTTTTATCCACCTCACAAGCATTTCCAGCGATCAAGAGTTCATGAATAATCATTAGCATCCTAATCCCGTAATCTGAATATTTCCAGCAGCGACATCCTATAACATTCTAATTACTACATCCATGATGGTCAGTTCCAACCGGTATTATCATCGTAATTCCGATATCGAATGTCTAGGCTGCACTTGGTAGATCCTCCAATCAGGGCCGGGTTTAAAACTTAGCGCCATCAGACTCTTAAAAATAATATTAACCTGGGATTAAACAGTTTTTTCCATGTATTAAAAAACAGATTAGCCGTTGGCTGTTCCAAACACGAGAGAATTTGTCCATATCCAAGGTCATGAACAATTTCCTATGTTCGGGTTCCTATTTTTTCACATGTTCCATTCCAAGGCAGTGTTTCAATGCGGCCAATACGTTTATCTACTTAACTTAACATTTATTTCATGTATATAGGTAATCAAGCAAATCCAAATGTTATTTAGGTACAATCAAAGGCATCATGTTGCTGTTTTCGACAATTCAATACGGATAAGGTGACAACATGGGCGTTCCCGCTATTCCGGCAAGTACATTGTGTGCCGCAATGACCGCCATGTCCTCGCGTGTCCTTTGTGTGGCAGATCCCAGATGAGGTACGATCACTGAAAGTAAAGGCGAATTACAAATCTGGCCTTGCCCCTCATGTTTCCCACGACCCTTCTTACCAGCATTGGGCAGCTTCAGCAGCTCATTATCCGCGGGCAGTGGTTCCGGGTTCATCACATCCAGGCCGGCAGCGAAAATTGTGCCGTTCTTTAGGGCAGCCACCAACGCGTCCTGATCTACAATCTCTCCGCGGGCAATGTTGACGAGAACCGCCGTAGGCTTCATGAGCTTCAGCGTGGTCTCGTTGATCATGTGTCTGGTGCTGTTGTTCAAAGGTACGCAGACGAACACATAGTCGCTCTCCTTCAGCAGTTCCGTCTGCGACACAAATTTGGCACCAATCTCGTCAGCTTCCGGTTTGTGTTTCCTTCCACTGTAGATGATTTCTCCCACATTGAATCCCTTCAGTCGGTTGGCAATAGTTAGTCCAATCTCGCCGAGCCCAATTATACCAATGGTGCTTCCCTTGATGTCCCGTCCGAGCATCCACTGTGGACCACCCTGCCATTGTGAGTTATCAATTTTCAATCGTCCTTCGTGGAAGCGCCGTCCAGCAGCGATCATCAAACCGATTGCCTCATCCGCAACGGCATCGTTCAGAACGGTGGGCGTGTATCCTAGTGGAAAATTACGTCGCTTGAATTCTGCAATGTCTACGTAATCCATGCCAGCCGACATGGTGGAAATGGATTTCAACGTTGGGGCCCCGATATCCAGCACCTCTCCATTCAGCGCATAGTGACCGACCCACATGATTCCATCCACTCCGGGAATGAGCTTCAAAATTTCTTCTCTGGTAGCTGGAACATTCTCCGGAAAAATCACGTCACATCTATCACAAAGAAACAGCTTGTTATCTTGCTAAAACAATGATATTGCAATACTTGAAAAGAGTGATCCCTTACTTGTGCCGAAGAATGGTTATGCCTTTTTCCGGGGTTTCCTTGTTGGTCACCAGAACTTTGGGTCGCCAGGTTTGCTGCGTAGTGGCCATCGCGTAGCTGCGAATATGTGTGGAATGGCGTGATTATTAGCTACCTTTTTTCAGCAAATGTTGGCAATTTCTCGAAAAGCCAATAGCAAGCAAATAACTGATATGATGATGATGATTGGAGAGTGTCCGAGTTTATAGCAGAATCACAGTTCTATCCTCTATCGTAGCTCACCCATGAGGCGGTACTACTGTTGTTGTATGATTGCGCATTAGTATTTATTGTATATTATTTATCTCTATACATGTTTTCTCTTATCACTGTGCTGCTGATCAACTTGAGGATGGCTGTTCTATGAATAGTTCGTGAAATAATGAACATTAGGGTGATTCAGATGCATATCTGAGGTTGTCGGACTTGTATGAACTGCTGTGGTAGTCGAGTTGGTAGTGAAGTTTTGCGGTTATAGACATCACATTTTATGATTTTATGTTGAGAAGAATGGACGAAAATCATTGCAATAGCTTTGTTCAACGAAATAATAAAGGCTTGAAAAAGTAAACTGAATCTAGAAAAGAACAGTCAACTTCCCGAGGGGCACGCAATACAAAGAACCCGGTCGTTGAAGTTAAAATGCAATCAAAAGTACTTAAAGTAATTAATGCGTTTTGAAGTAGTACTGACAGTAATTAAAATCATCCATCCGTAATTAATGTAATTAAAAGCATTGAAAGTGTAATTAATATACTTTAATTACAAAATTTCGACTATAATTAATGGAGTTAAAATTAGTTAATGTTCTACCATAGAGGTAACTCTAAGACCACTGGGTCCCGAAGAAAATCATTATTATTTTTGGCTCACTCAGTACCAGAACAACGGTCCCAAGCAGTCCCAAGCTATTTCACTCACCCCTGCATGTTCTGCATGAATCCACACACCCCTGATGTTATCTGTCAAACTTTCATAGCGAATGAAAAAAAAATAGTGTAGTAATAGAATTTCAACTAGAATAGGGATGTTAATCGTTTGCTTGGGACTACTAAAGTGGTGAGCCAATTTAAAATCGTTAGTTTCGTATTGATTGTTGGTTCTACATTGTGTAATTAATGTAATTAAAGCAGCAGTATTAATGGAATTAATTTAATTACATCTATAATGAGAGAGAGAGAAGGATTAGCATTTTCCATTTAATTCCACTACTTTATTTGCTTATCCTTGACAGATACGCGTATTTCGTCTACAATGTGCAGACTTCTTCAGTGTATTGTACTTCGAGTATTAGTACAAGACACTGAAGAAGTCTGCACATTGTAGACGAAATACGCGTATCTGTCAAGGATAAGCAAATAAAGTAGTGGAATTAAATGGAAAATACTAATCCTTCTCTCTCTCTCATTATACAGGTATTCCACTAAGACGCCCACATTCATCAGGATTAATTACATCTGTTGCCTGCGTTGGAGTTAAAGGTTATTGCGTGCCCCTAGCAACTTCCATGACTCGAAAAAAGTTTTAATTAAAAAAAAAAATCCAAATCCTGCAACATTTTTTTAAATATTTCAATGTTAAAACGTCAAATATTTCTCTTAAAAGCCTCTTGATATTTTTTGTATTTTTGTTATGCCCAGAATAAAAAAAAAATTAAAACGCGCCAGAATTTAAAAAAAAATCGAAGTCCGAAATGGGAATGACACTGACGATGACCGCACATTGTAGGCTTGTAGGCGAAATACGTATCTGTCATGCATACAAAATACTAAGTGGAATTAAAGGGAAAAAATAACCTACTTAAGGGGAAAGGGACTGTCGACCTTTCACGAGGACATTTTTTGAAAGGTTTTAATCGCCTCCTCCCCATGCGTGGACGATCATCCACAGACCAACAGACATAACACATTGAATATTTTTCAATAAAAAACATCGTCACTAAAACACTACCGCCATCTGTTGAGTATACTGTGATGGGGAGTACGCTGAACAGATGGCGGTAGTGTGCAAACGTCAAACGCAAGGATTATTGACTATGTGCGCCACAGGTGGTGGTCCTACCATAGAGGTAACTCTAAGACTAGAAGGTCCCGAAATAACGTGCTCAACTTTTTGGCTCAGCTCTGGTACTCTCTTGAACAAACATTACGTAGTACTAGAATTTCGACTAGAATGGGGTACGTTAATCGTTTGCTTGGGACCAATAGGCTAGTCAAGTAGTGAGCCAATTTAAAATCGTTAGTTTCGTATTTATTGTTGGTACTACCAACTTAAAACATTTAAATTTACCGTTAAATGCGTGTTCGATGAACAAATTGCTTTATATGATTATATTGATATTGATTATATGATACAATATTTTCCATGTTAAAGTAACTATTAGCATTGTTTTCTTAACTTAACGAATTTGTTCTCCGTGTAGGCATTGTGCACATCCACAGGCAATTATGTGGATAGACGAGGGTTACAAACGACCTTACAGCTACCTTACATTTGATATATTACACATATTTAGTAATATTCTACCATATTTGTGTTTTGGCCCAATATCACCCCCATAAGGTTTAACATTGGTTTTTTTTTTATTTTTTTTTAAATGAGGTATAAATTTTAATCAACCATTTTATGACATTCGTAAATATTTATTCACATGCTTAACATTGTTTTTTTTCCTAAAATGTGAATTGGCTAAATGAAAAGACTATCAGCCAATGGAAGAATCTTTCTGAGAAAGTTCAATAAGAAGCCTGGAGTACAAAAAAAAAACGTCTGGAAGTTCCGGAAGATATGAGAATAAACTTCCCAGTAGTGTTTCCTACCCGATACATCCCGGGAATCCATTTTTGAGAAATTGACCTATAAATAGCGCCGCCATATTCCCGGGAATCTCATTTGGTTTCCCAGGAAGCAGATAATTATTTAGATTATACGGGAAACCATTTCTGGGATGACCATTTCATGTTTTATGTTTCCTGAGAGATTCGGATAAAACTTTCTAGGGGATGTTTTAGGGAATACAGATAGGTAACATTGTAGCCGGTAGTCCTTAAGGTTAATGCTTTTCCGTTGATACTGAATCCACACCCGTTCAAACCACACCCAAATTTGAAATGCACCAATACCAACAAGCATTGCTAATTAGAAAAAGGCAAGTATTGAAATTTTGAACATATTCGTAAACACAATATTATCATAGAGGTAACTCTAAGACCACTGGGTCCCGAAGAAAATCATTATTATTTTTGGCTCACTCAGTACCAGAACAACGGTCCCAAGCAGTCCCAAGCTATTTCACTCACCCCTGCATGTTCTGCATGAATCCACACACCCCTGATGTTATCTGTCAAACTTTCATAGCGAATCAAAACAAACATAGTGTAGTAATAGAATTTCACCTGAAATAGGGTACGTTAATCGTTTGCTTGGGACCAATAGGCTACTAAAGTGGTGAGCCAATTTAAAATCGTTAGTTTCGTATTGATTGTTGATATTATTGTATAATTATAACAATTCTACTACTGAAATGACAACTTCAATTCTAAGATTCCAAGTTCAGGGTAGTCCTACTACTGTTCGGGGAAGTCTTGCCGTAGTTCAGGGAAGGCCTGCCGAACTTCAGCGAAGCCCTGATGAAGTTCAGGGAAGCCCTGCCGAAAGTCCTTCCGAAGTTCAGGGAAGCCTTGCCGAAGTTCAGGGAAGTCCTGCTGAAGTTCAGGGAAGTTCTGCGGAAATTCAGATAAATTCTGTTGAAGTTCAGGGAAGTTCTGCCGATGTTCAGGGAAGTTTTTCCGAACTATAGGGAAGTCCTACCAATGTTCAGGGAAGGCCTGCCGAACTTCGGGAAAGTCCTACCAAAGTTCAGGCAAACCCTGCCGAAGCTCAGGGACCTCCGGCCGATTTATTAGATTTTTCGAATGGTACGTTTGAAGTTTTTTTTTATGTGGCTTTCTCATTCTAGGGTAATCCAAACAGGGAAATGCAAAACTGACTGTTTGGATTACCCTAGATTGAGAAAGTCATATAAAAGAAATCTCCTGCCGAAGTTCAGAGAACTCCTGCCGAAGTTTAGAGAAGTTCTGCCGAAATTTAGGGAAGTCCTGCTGAAGTTCAGGAAAGTCCTGCCAAAGTTCATAGACGTTCTGCCGAAGTTCAGGGAAGTTCTGCCGAAGTTCAGGGAAGGGCTGCTAAAGTTCAAGGAAGTCCTGCCGAAGTTCAGAGAAGTTCTGCTGAAGGTGAACTCAGAAAATGGTTTTCAGAAAATTTAACAATAAATCAATCTTGTATAAATTGCTAAAGATAGCAATTTTAGTTCTTTCATTTAGCACGGAAGAGTTTTTTCGATTGAGCGCTGCGTATTTTTTTGTAAAAAATCGATGAAGTCAGTCATTCTAAACCGATCCACTTTCACCTTAATAGTAGAATACTGACCGTAAATGGTATCTTTACTATCGCAAAACGGGGGCAAGTTGATCACTTTCTACCGATTGACCTGAATATTTTTCCAGCCATATGTTTGACACACAAACAAATAACCCTCAAACCTGTGCTAGCAAATGCTTTTCTAATGTACGAATTTCGTTTCAATTGCATGTTTGTTTTATTTTTTATGAATTAAAATTAGATTTAAAATGCAAATTTTAAATTTTGGGGTGAAGTTGATCATACGCACACTTAGATTTTTTGCCGAGATTGGAACCACTGGGCATTTTATTTTGCTGGAGCTCAGTGAAAAACTAGCGGAGATTCAGCATAATAGATGTTTGTTAGCTGAATCTCGCAATGCAATGCACTTCGTTTGTGATTGCTTAATTTTTTGGCTCAGCTCTGGTACTATCTTTGGTCCCAAGCTAATTGATGCACCCCTCGAAATATAGGAAAATCTACGAACCCCTCATTTTATCTGTCAAACTTTCATAACGAATCGAAACAAACATAGTGTAGTACTAGAATTTCGACTAGAATGGGGTACGTTAATCGATTTGCTTGGGACCAATAGGCTAGTCAAGTAGGGAGCCAATTTAAAATCGTTAGTTTCCACCGGTTGCTACTAGTGTGCATGCAAAATACGCTTGACGATATTTTTTGAAGAATTTTCTTTTAAAAGTTATGTTTGTTATATGGATTTTTTGTTTTAAAGTTATTGTAACAAAGACACCACGGGCTGCTATTCTGCTATACTGTAAAAGTGTGTCGAATGTACTGTAAAAATAATCTTTTACAAAAACAAACCGTAGTAAAGTACCACATGTTTGAAAACATTACCGAACAGGTTTGTAAATTTCATACTCAACATGTGCCGTCAATTCGAAGTTGAGATTTCTTCGATTCTCTTGTGTGCTATAATCCGTTAAATCCGTACTTTTTTGCTACAATGCGTTAAATCTACGCCGAGAGCGTGGCCGAAAGAATATTTTTCTCTTTGCTTGAGCTTAGGCCCGTAGGAAGTGTTTTTCGGTTTAGGTCTTAGGAGGAGCTGAAGATTAGAATGAGAAGTTGCGTGATGACTCCTTTTTTTTTAAAAAAGAGGTGACCTTTTGATGTGCCCTAACGAGCTTACGTTCTTACCTGTATTGTATAGTTAAAATAATTGGTATCAAAGTTTTTACTCTTGCGAATGTGGACATGGCTGAAATAGATATCTAGCTGATGCAAATTGTTTCCTAAAAATAGAAAAAAAATGTTATTAGATTTTTGGACAAAACATCGGAATGATCTAAAACGTGTTAGTGACTATAAAAAATACCCATTCTCGAGCGTTAATTTTGTTCCATTTGTCATGTAAATGTTAAATGTTGTATTGTACCATAATTCATGTTTTTCGGAATAGGAGTTGACTTTAATCACTGAAATTATTTTCCTGAAGTGGAGTAGTAGCATAGAGGTAACTCCATAGAGGTAACTCTAAGACTAGAAGGTCCCGAAATAACGTGCTCAACTTTTTGGCTCAGCTCTGGTACTCTCTTCGGTCCCAAGCTAATCGATTCACCCCTCGAAACATAGGAAAATCCACTAACCCCTCATTTTATCTGTCAAATTTTCATAGCGAATCAAAACAAACATTGTGTAGTAGTAGAATTTTGACTAGAATGGGGTACGTTAATCGATTTGCTTGGGACCAATAGGCTAGTCAAGTAGTGAGCCAATTTAAAATCTTTAGTTTCCACCGGTTGGTAACTCTAAGACCAGAAGTTCCCGAAGAAACTTGCTCAACTTTTTGGCTCAGCTCTGGTACTTTATTCGGTCCCAAGCTAATCGATGCACCCCTCGAAACATAGGAAAATCCACGAACCCCTCATTTTATCTGTCAAACTTCCATAGCGTATCAAAACAAACATAGTGTAGTACTAGAATTTCGACTAGAATGGGCTACGTTAATCGTTTGCTTGGGACCAATAGGCTAGTTAAGTAGTGAGCCAATTTAATCGTTACGTAATGTTACTGTGTCTCGGCTAACAAATGCGATGTCGATAAAGAAGATTAACGAATGTGGGTCTCACTGAAAAAGGTACCATTAAACAAAATCAGAAGAGCACTAAAAAAAACTATTTGAGCAATATGTACATCACAAAAGAGCTCTAGAAAATGCCGTTTGAGCAATATTAAGGTAAAAAAAGAAGCAAAAAGCACAATGAATGTCCCAGGGAAAATTTCAAAAACGCTCAACAAAAAATAAGAAATGAGCAAGAAACGTATAAAATTAGCACTTTGAAAAATAAATTGAGCATTTTATAGGCCATGAGGGTCACTAAGAACTAAAACAATATCTTTTGAAAACCTGCAAATCTTCATCGAACCACAGATAAACAGACATCATTTGATTGTTGAAAAAAAATGAGGCGATAGTTCGATAATGGTACCTTTTTCAATGAGACCCACATTCGTTAATCTTCTTTATCGACATCGTCTTTGTTAGCCGAGACACAGTATCATTACTTATCGTTGTCTTGAAAATACCATATGGAAATTGATCTGGGTTATTGGCTCATAAACTTTCAATTTAAGGGAATATTTCCTGAATATCATTGGATTTTTTTTTAATTGCGCAGTGTTCGTTTTTAATTAATTAAGTGTCATGTCGGTTTGTCGGTGGCGACACATCTAAATCTCAATTCTAGATGCTCAACAAATCTCACACAAGCGAATCAATCTTCGAAAAAATCTTCTTTCATTTCTCGAATCTTCTTGCATCGCACATCATCTTTTTACAAGAATTATTCAGAATCAATCTTCTTTCTACCTACTTAGCGTTCTCGCAGCTAACCACAGCAAAACACATTTTTTTCTTGCATCGTAGATAGCGTCACCCCCCTCGGAAAAAAAACAACATGCTAAAGGGCAACCAAATTGTATACTTATATCACCGATAAACTGTCATGAATGATCATACAAATTACAAATAAATTTCTGAACAAAGCACAAAACTGACATCTGTCGGTTCGCGGAAAATATTGATCCTAGCCACGAACACGCGTACAAATTTATGAGTTAGTTTATGTCTAATATATTTCGGACAGATTATTTTTATATAGATAAAACAATTCTATCATAGAGGTAACTCTAAGACTTGAAGGTCCCGAAATAACGTGTTCAACTTTTTGGCTCAGTCTTGGTACTCTCTTCGGTCCCAAGCTAATCGATTCACCCCTCGAAACATAGGAAAATCCACTAACCCCTCATTTTATCTGTCAAATTTTCATAGCGAATCAAAACAAACATTGTGTAGTAGTAGAATTTTGACTAGAATGGGGTACGTTAATCGATTTGCTTGGGACCAATAGGCTAGTCAAGTAGTGAGCCAATTTAAAATCGTTAGATTCGTATTGTTGATTCTATGGTTTTGGCGAGGGTTTTGGCAGATGGGATCGCCGCACATTTGAATCGACCGTTATGGATTCTCAATCAAGAGTTTAAGTTTAAGTTTCATGTCGGTTATATGAGCAGCATGAGTACAACTCAAAATGTGCTTTTGTTGCTTCTTTGTTTGTGATTTTTTTTTGTAAAAATAGGAAAAGCATATCTACCTAGGTATAACTTTCGATTTTTCATGAATTTAAAATGGCTTTTTATGGGATTAAACTTTGCTCTATTTTCCGTAATTTGCCATCAATCAAAAATTGTCACAATCAGCGATTTTATGATTGCTGAGTACTCCTCCTCAGGAGTATCATTAAGCCTGTGTGTCAGTATCGTTGAGCTGATCGGACTGGTACATAAAATAGGAAGACAATTTATTTATTTTCCTCATCCCAACATGTAAAGCTTAGAGTCGGTGTATAATGAGTCACGCCAAGAGTGAAGCCAAGTCTACCTATCAGGGCTCTACATTTTCGAAACTCTAAAATGAACTCGAGTTTTGTTTCTCTCATACAAACGTGTTCAACACTTCATTTCTATAACGCCTAGCTAGACTATCAGCAAGAAACGAAAATGAAAAAGAAGCACGCTTAGAAGGAAACGCTGGCTGTGGATCTTCTCGTCGTTGCTTTGCTCATCGCTTTCAATGTAACTAACGTCGATTTTCTAGTTAAACGAACCTCATTATGGCTTTCAATCCCCTTTCACGAGCACTCTATCACCGCTCTTTCAATTTGTTTAAAATGCGTTATGTCCCGTTTTTGATCATTTTTTTTAGATAAATATATGGATGGAAGATAAATTAAAAATATTACGTGTAATCTTCACGTGTTTTCACGTGAGAAATGCTTTAAATGTGTTATTTCATTTTTCGTCATATACGTCATGAAACCTCTGTTGATGTGTTTCATGAAAGAGAAAACTATCAAAGTCGAGTGCTCTTTCGCTCATACGTTTCACCGAAGCTTGAAAGGAAGACCAATGGAGCGACGGGAGAAAGAGAGACAAGCGATTGAACATTTGTTTGTGCACGCCGACTGAGGTTCTAGAATGCTGCGAAGCTGTTCGACTTTAACAGAAAAAGAAAGCCAGCAGTCTCTTCGTCGCATCGATTTGGTCGATTGAAGCTGATATTGTGACGCCCTGCTACCTATTGAACTGTCAAACCGGCTACCTATCGTGCAAAGTAAACAAGCATTACGATGCTATGAAAGGTCCACGAAAGGTATTGCAATTAAATATTAAATATAACCGAAGAAATGATCATATACACGCAGTGAGCATTACATTTGTCATGCGATACGTTTTGTAATGATCAGTAATGACAATTTCTACTATTTTTCCTTAAGATAATTCCACAAAATCACTGATATAATGATATACTACAGCCGTTTTTTTTTCTCGCTAGAAGTCATTTGAAGTTGATGCAGAAGTCCTCTGTTGCCAAGTTAAAAGAAAGGGAATCTTTCGAAAACCGTGATGCGAGTTCAACTGTTTTTCTCTTGGCGTGACTCATTATACACCGACTCTAGTAAAGCTGTTCTTTGTGAAGCCCGTTTATAGTGTAAAGGGTTTCTATTTGATACAAGAAAATGAAAGTTGTATGCTAATCATATATGGTCTTGCCTCAGATATGAAAACTCTATTCAACAAAGCCAAAAAATAATTCTCGTCTGTATCAAATCATCACCAAAAAACAACACCATTACATTATCTCCTCTGTGTCATGTTATGCTTTGGGGCCTCCCAATAGCCTAGTAAGTAATGGCACGGCATAATATATTGGAGGTGATGGGTTCGATTCCCGGTGCTGTCGAGAAAATTTTCTCGACTTTCTTGAACATCATTGTGCTAGACTGTTTGCTCAAATTAAATAACAACTGTGGAAGTTGCGGTAAGGCTTAAAGTTCCAGTTGGGTCGTATTAGTCATGAATAAGTTGTCGCAATAAAGTTTAGGCAGCTCATTATCAACATTACCTAGTAGTTTCTACACACTATTGTTTCGTTTCTATCAGCGTCGCTATACCGTGGCAGCCCATTATCACCATGTGTAGTCATTGAGGATGACGAAGCATGACAGTCGTAGGGCAGTTCGTTAGATAGTGTTCCGTTTGTCGAAGTGAAAAACAACCAAAACAAACCATAGGTTTCTTCCTCTTAATGCTGTCGCAGCGAGGGGGGACGAGGTTGTGGGTTCAAACCCCCTTTTTACCTCAAGTCTTGAGGTAAACATAGAATTGTCAGAGTTGGGAGACAAATGAAGCTTTAGTGCGATAATTTATTAGCTAAAGAAAGTTCTGAAGAGGATAGATTGATAGTTCCGCTAAAGTATTGCAGTGTGGAAATTGAACAGAAGTTGACATTGAGCGAAGGGCCACTAATGCGACAATACTAATCAAATGCGCACTCCTTTACCTAACTCATACTTTGATGGATTTGAGGTAGGGGAAATGGCTTAATGGATCTAAGATTGGGCCCATCGCTAAAATCTGCTATTTTTCAATATTATCTAGATGAACGCATCATTGGGACGGTACTAATGGATATTTTTGGTTGCTATTGAAAATTTAGTTGGTTTATGAATTTATGTATGGGCCCAAATTAGGGACACATAGGCCGACATTACATACATTTCCCCTATGTCCTCAAATCCACAGGCAAAAAAGTGCGCGTTTGACTTGCTCATATACACTGAGGCACATAAACCTAAGAAATTCATAAGGCTCGACTTATAAACGACACATATGAATTTCATAACCGTGACTTATGAATGATTTTTGTCTA